TTCCGGTCGCTCTAATCCCCCTCCCCTTTCTCTCCCTTCTTCCCCTCGCGTCCCTTCCTCCCTGACACTGGGTTCTCGAGGGATGAAAGTGCCATACAAAGGGGATTCAGCACAAAGCACATGCCAAACAGCAATAGAAATCGAGCCAGATAGGAAGGTCAAAGATCAAGGTGGAAGGAAAATTGCGAGAGATTATAGAGACTGTAAGAGTGAGAAAAAGCACTGGTTGTGGTCGCTATCTGTCGCCAGCTCTCGTCTGCCGACTTCCAGGTAGAGGAGAGAGAAAAGAATCCACGAAGGTTCCTGCTCACGTGGGCCGGCAGAAAATGATGCCAACTCCTTGGTGGCTAATCTCAGTGTCTCAAGTCTCCGAAGTTAGAAATCCCGGGGAGACCCTGATTTCCTTGTTCAATTGGGATAGTCTGTTCAGTCAGGTCTGAACACAAGCTCCATTGTGATTGGTGGAAGCAAGAAAATAGCAATAACAAAAATAATGATCATGGTAACACTAGTAATAATGATTATGACGGAAGTAATGGTAATAAGGATGATAATAACCATTGTCATTAATTGTATTATTATTTTCATTTCTAAAACTATCATTTCATACTTTTATTCTTCTTTCATGTCATTATTCTAATTTATTTTGATGCTGCTGTTGATTGATGATTGTAATTAGAGTAATTGTATTATAATTATTATCATATTCTTCAAGGTTAAATTGTCTTGGTTATTATCATTATATTTTTTATTTTATGCTGTTGTTGTCATCATTATTCATATTTGCTATCGTTATCATGATCATTATTTGGGTGCCTGGCCGTCCGTCCGTCCCCGAAGTACATTATTAAATGTTTTGTTTGTTTAAATCTCATCAGTAATATAAGCACCGATAAACATATCAATGCATTCTACCCTATGCTTATAGTGCATCGACATGAAGATATCGATACTTATATCATAGATTAACGAAGCACGATTTACTGAACCTTATTATTCACATTATTCATTATATTTGTTGATTTGGTTATGGCATTAGCTCATGAGGGGAAAACAAGAGAGGAGCATATATGATTAGTACAAATGTTATCTTTTAAGGAAAAGAACTTCAATAACAGTTTCTATTTCCACTTGAAAAACGCCGTTGAGAGCAATTTTCACGACACGAAAGGTGGCCAGCATTGTGTACTGTAGATCAGACACCGATTCCCAACTGACAAAGAACTCTGCTGGCTTTAAAAACTCCACAGCCTTGAGGAATGTCGGCGCCATTGGGCTCGAGGAATCGCTGCTCCTCATGGCCGCCGCGGGGCTGCAGCCTCACGCGCCTGCTGGTGACGCCGAGCTCCTCTCCGCCTCCACGCCGCAGGGTGTGGGCGGAGGGCGGCGAGCAGTGCCAGACGGCGCGCGTTGCAGAGTCGCGGGGAGCTACAGAAAGTCAGTTTCACGAGGTCCTTCCAAGCCTCACAACAGTTTCAGCCTAATTAAACCTTGTCAGTGAGCGGGATCGAGAGATGCATGACAGGCCAGGCAGAGCTGGAGTTTGGCATCGTCATTCCTGTTATGGACTACATTATTAGTTCGTTGTGGCTACTGATTTAGTTTCTTGTAAATCACTACTACAGTAATTACTATGGCCATAAAACTGAATCTGTTATAGTATCCACTGTTGTAAAAACTAGAAGAGAACCTTAGTGTTTAAGTCTTAGACACATAAGGACTTGTTGCTCAACGCATTCGGCGCTGACCAAAATTCCAGGAGGCGCCAAAATATTTGAATACCACAAGTGTGTACACAGAAGCATACAAAGGATACTTACTGCACAACCAGTAGCACAGACTTGCAAGGTCAAAACTTCGTTCATCTGAATACAGAATTTTTACTAAACCTGTTTGAACTGTTTGCCCTTGACCTGACAATAAAGCCTTGCACTCTGGGAGGTTAGATAAGTTTATGTCATGATATCTGACCGGTATGAAATAGAATGAAAAATATATATCAAATGGCTTCATCTTCAGAGTGACTTTATTTATTCGCGAATTAAAAATATTGTGCAGTGAGTCTGTCATCCCGGAGAGTGGAGATGGCAGGGAATAGATAATGTAGTGATAGTGAATAGCATTACAATCATGAGCCGTGTGTGGCGGCGGTGTGTATTGGTTTTTATCAGCTAATAAAAAGTGTCCAGATATTTCTGCGAATCTTAACATATTCTCACCATGGACTTAAAATCACATAGGCTGTTCATCTTGCAATGATCGCTCCATATAGCTCCCCTCTCCCTCCGTCTCCTTGTTTGTTTAGCTCTCTATCTCTAGCTGTTTCATTTTCTCTCTCTCTCTCTCTCTTCCTCTCTTTCACCTCTCATCTTCTCTCCCTCCCTCCTTCTTTCTCTGTCTGTCTAATTGTAACCCAGCGGTCTGTATCATATTACTGAGATGTGCATGATATTATCCTTTGTATTTATTGTTATATTCTGCATAATGTACATGATCTTACATACTTCATATGTGAATCTTCTCACATGCACTTATACACAAACATATGCATATACAAATGATTATAACTGTTATAAATATTTGTTGTGGGAATCACAATCACAATAATAATAGTAATATCACTATTATCATGATAATAATAGGAGATATAATAATGATGAAACAATTGTAAAAGCGAGACAAAGAATTAGAGAAGGAGTATGAATAGGAAGAATAGTGGCGCTGATAATATCAACAACAACAGCAATAATAAGGTCGATGTGTAATGCTAAGGATAAAAAATGTCTATGATGAAGCAAAGATAAGAATAAGAACAGAAAGAAGCAGCAGCAAAAGACAATAACAATCACAGTCGTGATTAAGGGAACACTAACATGAATAAGGATTATCTTCATGTCGCTAATGAGGTTCTTATGATATTAATGAAAATATTTAGAAGCAATTACAATCAGCATGAGAATATGGAGAATTACCAATATTTCGGGAACAGCATTAATCATTATAATAATCAGAGTTCTTAAAGTTATACGAATATGATGGATATGATTCCTGTTCTTATCTTCATTAAGTAGAAGAATAGAAAATAGGAGGATATGATGCTAATCATAGTGTGACTAATGATGAAAGCAAAGATTTGAATGATGTCCATGGTAATAAACATAATGATGTGAATCATTTTATGACTACTAGGAATTATAAGGATGATGCAAATGCAATGATGATGTTCATGGTTGAACTAACAAGATTTCCCTAAACTTCCTGGCAATATCACCTGTTTTTTTTTTTTTTTTTTTTTTCATTTCCCTGCCCCCGTCCTATGGAATTGCCATTATCACCAATTTTTTATCATCGTTATCATGATCATTTGAGTGCGTGCCGTCCGAAGGTGTTCTCAGACCAATTGCCCGGAAATAAGTTTTTTAACTGTCTTGTTAATTCAAACTTTTCATCTATAATAAAACAATTGTAAACTCATACCAATGCACAAAACCTCATGAGTGTAGTGCATTAACATAAACATATTGATGCTTATGTTGTAGATCAAAGTTTAAATGAACAAAACATTAATGAACATATTTATGGGTAACTGGGGCGAGAACACTTTTTGACGCGTAGACCTTTGTGTATGTTGTGATTATTATTACTACTACTATTACAACTGGTATGATGAATAGTATTAGTTGCAGTTGCTTTGTTTAATCTCTTTCCTCTCCTCCTCTCTCTAGACGGGGGGGGGGGAGGGGGCACGTCTCTGGATCAGAGCTCCAGGTTCCCGCTTTGGTGTTTGCCAATGCATGATTTTCTGTTCATTTTCTCTGCCTTCAAAGAAACGGAATGAGGTTAATAATAATAAACTTATGAGGTAGACATGCATGTGATGTGCTTGTGCCAGATGTGAGCATAAGAATTGCCGCGTATGCTATTTATCAAATTGCAATATTGAAAGAGGAGCCAAATAAAATAAATAAATTCATAAAGGTACATGAAAGGACAGGCACTAGGATTGTACAAGAAAGTCACAGTTATCAAATATTTACGGAATAAGTTTGTACAACTGGCACATTGCATTTTTAAATCACAGTAACTCCGTCCTTTAAATTCATACATATAAATATATATATATATATATATATAATATATATATATATATATATATATATATATATATATATATATATATATATATATATATATATATATATAATACATATGTATATATATAATAATATATATATAATATATATACATATATATATATATATATATATATAATATATATAGATATAGAAGTACATGTGTATGCATATATGCACTTATATATTTATGTGTTTATGAATGTATAAATATATATATATATATATATATATATATATATATATATATATATATATATATATATATATATATATATATATATATATATATATTATATATATATATATATATATATATATATATATATATATATATATATATATATATATATATATATATATATATATATATATATATATATATATATATATATATATATATATATATATGTATATATATATTAATATATATATATATATATATATATATATATATATATATATATATATATATATATATATATATATATATATACATACCTATGTATAAATAATGCATATAAAGGAAAGAAAAAAATATAGATATCTATTTCATGCTTGTATGAATGTATGTTTTCCTCATTTGTATTCAATATTTCAATTAGCATGAAAATAAACACATTTTGAATATCACGAAAAATTCCTAAATTCTTCTTATTTATTCTTTAAAACTGTGTTCTTGGCCTCAACTCCACTGACGATATTAAGGGTGAAATATATTTTTTTCATTGGTCTTTAAATCTATGTTCCATTTTTCATAAATTTATCTTTTACTATTTGTGACACATTCATCGTTATGCATTTTCTGTTTGCAATATTTTGTCTTCCGGAAATGGGAAAATTAACCCAAGTTTCTCCCTTTTACAGAGTGGACTCCCCTGCACTTCGCCTCTGAAAATGGTCACTTCGCAGTGGCTGAACTCCTGGCCGCCAAGGGAGCGGACCTGGAAGCGAAGGACGAGTATGGTAAGGCAATTTCAGAGACGACGGACGCAGTTGGTCCGGGTTTCTTTCTTTTTTTTCTCTTCTTATATTCTTATTTCATCTATATTTCTAAGCACCGGTCTTGATGTCATTTTGATGTTCGATAAATTGTAGGTTTCGCTACATTGTTATATTGTTTTCATTATAATTGATTTTTTATTATCTATCTTCTTATGTAATTTTTGCTTCTTACGTAATTTTCGCTTCTGATTAATTTGCTTGTAATTAATGGATAATTTCGATGACAATTATGTAAGTTGCAATGAGTGAAAGTAATAAGGTAGGATAGGGATGGGACGGAGGGAGGATAGGGCGAGGAAAAGGGAGGTAGGACGACGAGAGAAAGGAGTGGGAGAGAAGTAGAGGGTAAAAAGAGACGAAGAAAGGAAAGAGGGAAGGGGAGGGAGGGAGAAATGGGGGGTAATAGCAGAGGAGCTCCGATTTTAAAAATTATTTTATGTTGTTTTATCAGTAATGGAAAAGAGGAAAGCGGCTCTGAAAGGATCATTTATTAGTGACATTATATCTAACAAATAATGTATAATTATCAAGTATTCTTACATCATATAATAGTTGTAAATTTTATTCCCTGAATTCCATCTTATTATTACCACTATCATTTGTTACCATTATCCTTCATCATCTCATCATCATTATAGTGCAATTGTTCTTTAGTTCAAGAAAGCAATCTGAAGGGAATATCGAGTACCTGCTGCACTGTTATTTTGTTTTCGTGAAAAAAATAGTTTTAATATCATATCTTTAACCGGTGTAAATTTTCTGAGGTGCAATAGGCAGAAAGAAAGAAAGAAAGAGAGGCGGCATTTAATATTGCATGAATCCTTGTGTTTAGAACCTTTTCCCTCTGGCCCCTTATTCGTATCTCACGTATCTCTCTCTCTTTTCTCTCTCTGTCGCTTCCTTTTACCCTCCGCCCTCGCCTCCCCTTCCCCTTTTCCTCGCATTATCCTCCGCCTTCCTTTTATCTCCATCTTCCTTGCCTCTCCCTCCTCCTCCTCCTCCTTTCTCGCCATGCTCCCCTCATCTGTTTATAGTTATTACCAATATTAATGTTACTATTTGCTTTTATTTTTTCATCAGTATTTCAAGTCTCTTCATTAGTTGCATTTTGATTGTCATAGTAGTTGCTAATAGTAAAGTATGAAAATTCAGATTCTTTATTATGTTCATTTAAATTTACTGGAGTCATTGCTGCCGTTGAAATTACTTTGAGGAAATGCTAATTACAGGCCAAATATAATTAACTCAAATGATCATCACAATGGATATCAACTCTTTCAGTTCGGACCTACGTTCATGTCGGCAGACTTGTCCATCAGTTATCATGTGTAATAAGGTGTTGAATGCATGCACTTCCTCCTTTTTTCGTGAGTGACGGCAAGACACTGCCATTAACTTGATTAATGTGCTTTGGTAATTATACTCAGGAGCTCATTTCCCTCTTGGTCCATTTGTTCAATTGAGGGATTTAGATTTTTGTGCTTCGTTCTTGCAAATGAAGTATGCCATGTTTTCAGGAAAATGGCAATGCAGTACCATGAACTGATGTGAATGAAAATGCGATTGATTGATTAATGTCATGTTTTACTTTAGTTACAGAAAGATTGAAACTATGTAAATTACTAAAAGCAAATCTACCCACCAAGAGTTCCTTGAACAATAACACGGAGGGACGCGGTATTCCACGCAAGGCTTTCCTCCTGACGGGACCTGAAGGCACTAGCCTCCCGCTGGGCCGCGAGAGTAGCCATCGGCATTTCCAAACTATTTCGAATTGACAATTACCAGGCTTAATGGTACCATCGATATTATATCGTATATTTTAGAAACTGTTGTAACTTTTTCAAAGACCTGCAAACCTAACAGCAGCAGAATGATTGCTTAGGGAAAAAACAAAGTATTAAACGCCCCAATTTTGTTTAATTCGCTTGTACATAAACAGAGCGGTTGGTTGAAGGGAGCGTGAGGTGGGGCTTTATTTTCCAAGTGGTGGTAGAAATATGATGAAGAAGGTAATATTAATAATAATGATGATAATGATAAGAACAGGAAAATAATGACAATAGTAATAGTATCAAATACAATAATGATAACTACTTAACAATTACTATTATGGTTATAATGACAATATATTCATAAAGATAATAGTAATAGTAATTTTGGAATCTAATATTATTATTATATTATTATAATAATGATAACAGTAGTATTAATATCATTTTTATGATTATTCTAATCATTATTGATATATATTATTAGTATCACTATTGTTGTTGAATTTTTAAATATTGTTATAGTGAATATGGCAATTATCATAACGATATTCATAACGATAATGATAGTAATGGTAATGATGAAAATAGCAATGGAAAGGATGATGCTATTAATAATGAAAAGGAGGACATTAATGATTATAATGATAATAGCCATAATAATAATGATAATGTTGACGACGGCAATGATAATAACAATCGAAACAATACCAATACCATTAACACTACAAATAATGATAATGGTAATAATCAAAACGAAATTATGATAATGATAATTAATTGAAATGAAATATGATAATAATAGTTGATATTAGATTATGATAATGGCAATAATTAAAAAGAAATCATAATAATGATAATGAAGGTAGTAATAACTGCTGGAAGAGGCATAAGAAAGAGAAAGGGAGAGGGAGTGAGGCAAAAGAGCGGAGAGGAGGTGATGCGGTGAATTGAACGGGACTGACGAGGAGGAAATAAACTGTCCTCACTCTTTTTTCGTTCCTTTAGCTTTTTGTTGTTTCTCCCTTGTTCCTTCCCACCAGCTCTTTTATCTCTTGTTCCCTACTCCGGTCTCTCCTCTTTCTTTCATCACGCTTTCCCCTTCTTTGTTCCCCTTTTTTATTTATTTTCATCATGCTCCTCCCTTATCCCCCCCTCTTTTACTTTCACTCTCATTCAGTTACTCTGATAACTGGAGTGAAGTGGACAAGATCTAGAAGTAAAAAACTCGTTCGATTTCCAACAACAGCTGACACGTTTTTCACTCCTTCCATCTACCTTACCTGATATCTCCATCTCTTTCCTTCCCATGAGTTCTTTTCTCCCTCTCTCTGTCCCCTCTCCTTCCTCTTGGCCCTTCCTTCGACCTCATCCTTCCTTCCATTCTCCTTCTCCCCTTCCACTTTCTTAATGCTGGATCCTTAGCTTTTCCTCACTGTTGCTGTGAGGAAATTGCTAAAGGCGAAAGTAATTAAACGAGAGAAAAGGGACAGATTGAAGGAAAAAGGATGAATGGAGAACTAAGATAAAAATAGAACTTAAGGCAAAATATCAAATTATTCCTTTATACTACATTTAATCATATTTTTTTTCGCTCCCCCCTTGCCTATCCCTTGTCCCCCTTCCCTGCCGCTGGGTCGTCGGCCTTTTCGCACCATGGATGAAGGGGTAAAACTGCCATGGAAGGAGAGCAAGCAGAAAGCACGAAGACGAACGAAGTGAGAACATGATGCTGAATGCTCTCACATACCCATGACTGCGCTCAGAAATGCCCATTTAAGGCAGAGTCAGGGAGTACGACGTTGGCCCCTAATTATGAGCTGAAATTTGATATTTATGTGCTCTTAATTGCTCTACCAAAATGTTAATTACCAACGCTTACGGATCATCAAAAACTGAAATGATTTTTATCATTGTAATTATATTTACAAACGGTATTCACATCCATGATATTAATCCAATAACTAGGATAATGATAATGGATATTAGTGAGTTTTAATGCCTGTAGTATTAGTACTAATGGTATGACTATCAGTATCGATAGTAATAATTATACTGAGTATAAAAAAGGTAATCATGATGACGATGGTGCTGTGTTTCAGCATTTGTAACATTAATCAACTGAACAAATTCAGATTAAAGCATTGGATAACTATGTTCATTTGATATGATTTTAGTCACAATTAATACCATATCAAAGAACATATCATTCAAACTCAAAGCCATTAGTGGTGACGTGGAGACAAGCTTCACGAGAAGAGAGGGTCGTGGCAGCGAATGTATGAAGCTCTTTTATCGAAGCTTAGGCTTCGCTGCTGAAGCAAAAGGCTTCTCAGTAATGAGCAGTGAACGCAAGATTCGCTGTCCAAGCAATGAGCATGAGACTCACAATGAACCAGGAGGAGGGCAGGGAAATTGTGATTTTCAGGGATTTTGGTAATTAACCAAAGATGGGATGCTGATGCAATGTTAAAATTATTATGTAAAGTGTTATTTCTTCATTAGTGATGGACATGGGTTATACCTCTATGCGTTTGTTTATCAAACGATGTGACTACTACCAGGTGGTACCTGAGATTCATCCTTTTCTTGTTTATTTCTTTCTTATATCAGTGAATATTCATGAACACTTGGGCAAGTAAAGGTGTCCCCGAATTCCGAAAAGTTCGCAACCCTTCGCATCCTACGTTGCAACCATCATAAAAATTGTTTCCCGGACCTTCACTATAAGTCCCATGCGATTGTGAGCCTTATAGTGATGAGGCAGCGAGCCTTGTGTTCACTGCCAATTCCTATGAGAAGCGCAATGCTTCCACAGTGAAGCCTATGCTCCGATGGTTGAATCTTTTACTCACTTGTTTACAGTGAATTCTCTGTTTACTGCCACGATCTTCTTTATTGGTGAAGCTTCTTGTCTCTG